TTCAGGACATTTGGGTGATGAGGAATTATCCTGGAATGGCTGTCAGTGACAGCTGGGCAAGGCTGTGTGATATGGCTGGCTTCGTGGAGTTGGCAGGCATTCTGCCCAGGACCTGTCTGTCTCCTACTGGTCAGGCAGGGAGGAGATAGGGTTGGAAACTGCCCAGGACCTGTTTGTCTCTCACTAGTCAGGCAGGGAGGAGACAGAGTTGGAAACTGGGAACACAAGAGTCTCGACACTTGCTTTAATTACCTTTGTGACCCAGTTACTTTTGGAAAGGAGGTCCGAGGAGGCTCATCTGCTGTCCAGAAAGGAGCATGTCTGGATGACCATGAAGTGACCTTTCTGTGGACAACTTGCTCAGAATCCACACCTCTGGATGAGGACTGGTGTGGCATGGCTCTATGCTTTTTACAGATGAGCTTTGCCAAGCCAATGAGCCCCAGTGATGATCTGATATTGCATTCTGCTTTGTCCTTGACATTGCTCTTCCCACTCCAACTTTCCAGCTATTTTCCCACAGGAACATTTATTTGCTAAGTCTCACCCTTGCAGTTCCTCATTTCTCACTTTTAAAAAAATGGGATGGTATTTGAATGGTTTTATGTTCTCTCTCTTTATCATCTTTTTTTTTTTTTTTTTTTTTTTTTTTTTTTTTTGAACCAGGGTTTCCCTTTGGCTTTTGAGGTTTCTTGAACTCACAGAGATCTGCCTGCCTCTGCCTCCCGAGTGCTGGGATTAAAGGCGTGTGCCACCACTGCCCAGCTCTTTATCATCTTTATCCAAGGAATATCTAGGAATTTATGAAGGCATTCTTTGATATGTCAATAGGGAAACTTCACACCCCAAATCACAGGAGGTGTGGTTGACAGGGCTCTCCCCTGACTAGGTAGGAAGTGCCTTACAGGTGAACACATGGAAGCTGTAATGTCCTGCAAGTCCTTGGACATCATGACCCCTCCATTTACACTTTTTCTGTAAAATGTCTCCAGATCTTCAATCCTTTATTTCTGTGTCTAAGACAGGACCATCTGATGCCCTTTCCAACCTCAAATCTAGCCTGGCCAACACTATTCTTGGATCTACTATCTCAAACTCAAAATTCCTTAAGTCTACACACTGGGCTAAGGAACCTCCTTTATCTAATGTAGGTTAGAATGATACAATGTATCTTTATATTTGTTACATGGATTTATTTTCTTGTAGTAAATACTGAATAATGATGTATCCAATGAAGCAGATGAAACATGTGAAGACCTGGATGAGAAATAAGAGAATACCATGGTGTGAGGGGCTTTATTTTCCCATGGTTGGAGGTTGGAGGGGCTTTAGTTTCCCATTGTGGGAGGGAGCTACAGTTTCCACACACTTAATCCAAATAGGTGCTTCTGATACAAGGTCTGAAAAAATCCCGAAGGAATTCACCAGATAAATTTCATTTGTAAGAATGAAGGTCACAAAATACTTATTTTATCTGATGTCACTGTTTCAACTTCTAGGGAAGGATGTATTAGCAAGGCTGTAAACAAATGGACCAGAGGGCTGCTTACAGCCGGGCTTCTATTCACATGTGATTATGAATGTCATTCAATGCTAAGGATCCATTTGATGTCACTGGTGAGTCCTAAAAAGTTTTCTTTATTTTTATTACCTGCTTTGTTCATAAATATGCCTTCTCCCCCATTCCTACCCTAATTCCTTTCTAATTGTTTTTTTAAATCAATATTCCCAGGTTGGTATTTTCATATCTAAAGTATTCCAGTTTTGATTTAAAAAATACAGATGCTCTTTGATTTATAGAGGACTCATAGTCTGATAAACTAAGTAAGTATTCACTGTACGTTGAATGGATTTTTAAGTTCTAAGTTTTAAGTTCTACACCTCAGCTGGTTAGTTTTTGTCCACTTGACCCAAGCTATAGCCTTGTGGAAAGAAGAAACCTCAACTGAGAAACTGCCTCTATCAGACTGGTCTTTAGGGGGCACTTTCTTGATTGATTATTGCAGAGGGAGGACTCAACCCATTGTGGGTGGTGCAACTATGGGCAGGTGGTCTTGTGTTGTATAAAAAAAGCAAGCTATGCCAGTCATGGGGAGCAAGCCTGTAAGCAGGTTCTTCCATGCTTCTGCTTCAGTTCCTGCCTCCAGGTTCCTGCTTCCATTCCTGTCCAGACTTCCCTCAGTATTGGACTATAAAATGGAAGTTTAAGCCAAATAAACTCTCCCCTTTCCAAGTTGCTTTTGCTCATGGTATTTATCATAGCAACAGAAAATCAAACTAAAACTTAGTGGATACCCAACTAATAATGAACAAGTGGGCAACAAATTGGGAAAATAACAAAATGGAACTTTTAACTATAAAAAGTAATTAAAATTGCACACTCATCCAGCTAGAAAGAAATTAGTTTTCAGAGGGCAATACAATATCAACAGAAAGATGCATTCTATAGTTCGTCTTAGACTTGTATAAATTTGATGTCTAAACCATTAACAAAGGTAAGGAAAACAACAGACCAGTGTGTTCATAGAAACAGATCTAACAATTGTGAGTCAGATATGATAGCACACATTTGTAGTTCTTAGAAGGCTGAGACAAGAGGGTTAGGAGTTCAAGGCCAGCCTAGAGTACATAGCAAGTTCAAGGTCAGCTTGATCTAAAAGGGGAAACCCTATCACAAAACAAAGAAATCTGAATATATTATTAAATAAAATTTGGCAGAGTATGGATATTAGTCCATGATATTTCATGAATTTAACTCTGTTTAGAGGAATTTCAAATACAACACAGCTTCCAAATATACTCAGCACTTGCTAAAGAATGATTTTTTATGCCTCTATGAAATACATTGTGCTGAAATCTAATCCCCAATAGGATAGAGGCAGAGCCTTTGAGGGACAGTTATGAGAGCCCTAATGAATGGCATTAGTCCCCTGTAGAAAGAGACCAGAGTGTCATCTTTATGTCATGTGGTATAAGACTATAAGCGGGTAGTCTACAACCAATGGTAGTCCCCAGCAGACCTGGCAACATTGGCACCCCAATCCCAAACTTTTGAGCCATTTGAAATAAGTTTTTGTTGCTTATATGCTATCTTGCCTATGACATTTCATCACAGCATCCTGGGCTTTGGTAGTATTTGAATTCAAATGGTGACTTTATCAACAATGAGTTGGAGGTACTCCTCATTACTCAGGGTTTATTTGCCTTTTTAGTTAACATGGAACAATGGCGACTCTTTCTGGGTATGCATACTGCTTACAAAGTTTGACCCAAGCAGATCTGTACTACTGGTCCCACAGTCTGGGGACAGAGTATTTCCATCACCTCATAAAACTGTCCCAAGGATCCTGGCAACTATTAATTTCTTCCCATTTTGTGAATGTATATAGGATAAAACAGCAATCTTTTGGGTCTTGTTTTTTTTGGGGGGGTTGTTTTTTTTTAACTCAAGGAAAGTGATGCTGAGAGCAGTCCAGGTTACTGTGTGCATTGAGTTTGCACAGACAAGACTTGGACTTTGTCCATCTATTTGCTTGATAAATGACATTTGGATTGTTTCTAGGCTGTGGGGATTGTGAATAAAGCCATGACAAACCTTTACATATGAATTTTTGTGAAGACGTGTTTTCATAAGTCATAGGTAAATACCTAGGAAGGGTAAGCAAAGTCAGCCTCTCTAAGAGGCCACACTCTTTCTCAGAGTAGCTACACCATTTTGCACTCCCATCAACAACAAGAAAAAGTTCCAGCTCTACCATGTCATACCAGTCTTGGCACCACTAGTATATTTTTAGCCATTATGGCATGTGACAGATGCCAATTCCTGATGGTTCCTGAATTTTGGAAAGCAAATAGCTAAATTTTGGAAATGAGAGAATTGTCAAAACTTTTGCCTGGATTCATTTACTTGTTTACTTGGATAACAGGGAATGCATACCTCTGTAAGAAAACCATGAAGAAAAGCAACTTATTCAATCAAAAATAGAGAATGAACAAGGAGGGGAATTCATTTATTAGTACTTAATAAGGGGACTCTAAGATATTGGTGTTATTTATAAATCAAGGTTCTATGTGATTATTTTATGATTAGTTTTGGAACTATAGTCATGAATATAATATATTTCACAATCAAAAATTTTAAAAAGGGGTCAGAAAGACAGCTCAGCATGAGAGCACATGATGCTTTTGCTGAGGACATGAGTTCAGTTCTCATCTCCCACACTGGGAAGCTCATAACCAGGTGCAAGGGGCATGATGGGCTCCGTTGGGGTCTAAGGAGACCTCCACCCAAGTGTGTATGCAGGAATGTGTGCACACATACAGTTAATTCTTTTAAAATAATCATATGTGCTAAACAAATTAAAAAATAATCTTAATTTTTAAAGAAATAAGCTTGACTATATTGAACCACAAAAAGCAACAGAATGCAGAACACTATTTTAAAACTCCTTTTAAAAAAGGGAGTTTCAGCACAATAAGTTGAAAAATTAGTAAAAGTATCTTAGAATTTGAACATAAGAATTTCTTAAACACAAAACTTTCCTTTAAACATGCTTAAATGGAGCTAGGCATGGTGGTATAAATCTGTTATCCCAGCACTGGGAGGTTGAGGCAGGAAGATCATAAGTTCAAGGCCAGCCTGAGTTACACAGTAAGATCATATCTCCAAAGAAATAAGCAAACAAACAACCCAAAACAAAAGGAAAGCTGCTTAATTATTAAGAGCACATCTGCATTTGTTTATAGCCACAGGCCACACTGCTCATCTGTCAGTGCACAAACTCCCAGAGGCAACAGCTACACACATTTGAAAGGCTCCTCACACTAGGGTGGTTCTTAATCAAGGACAAAGAGAAGACTTCTGCTGAAAGCCAAGAGTAGGATGGCCTTTGAGTCAAGCTCTTCACAGACACCTCACCCCTAAACACCTCCACGTCACTATCTAGAGCACACGACTCTAATAGTCTGGTTGTCACTGACACCTTGGCAGGACGTGTTACCTGTGACGACACTGGGGATTTTGGAGAGAAAACTCTTAACTGTTCTGATGGGCACACCCCCTGTCTTGTCATCTTGCATCTTTGTGATGATGTCCTCGATCTGAAAGAGATTGAAGAAAAGACCTGTTAATATTTTTCTTGCACAGTAATAAAAATCCAAGCCTTTATTAAATGGTTCCTGAGTGCATAACAAGAGTGCTAACAACAGGAATTAGGGGCAACCTCCACCCAGTCAGTCAGGAAACAGTGTCAGTGTTTGCTAGGCATGTGGAGGTCAGAGCATAGTTCTGTAGGAACCACCACCTGCTAGTGCATCAAGGGAAAAAGAGAGAAGTGCATTGGGGTTCACAGTAGGATCTGAAATGGGCATTACTATGTACCTGATGAGATTTCTCCTCATATTCAAAGTAAGTTTATATGATAGGAAACTGCCATATTTGATTCCTCCAAAATGGCAGTTTCCTAAGGTTCATCCTAAAATGTTCACATAAACTAATCATTAGGAAGTTTAATCAAGGGCCTTTGGGAGAAAGGCCATAGTGGGCAGCAAAGAGATGGACTAAGAAGGACACAAGTTTGTAGGCATGGGTTCACCAGTCAAATGTAATTTCCTGGCAAGAAATGTTCAGAATAGGATACAGGAATGTTTGTGACAAGCACGTGGATCTTTTTGTTTAGGGGGGTGGAACAGCTAGAGAAGGGGAGGGACTAACGTGTAGGATTGACATAGTTTGGTTCTGTAACCAATAGAAATATCTCTGAACTGTTGGGATGAATTCTCTGAGTAAGACTTTATTGGAAGCACATAACTTTAAAGATAGAAACTTAAGCTATTACTTAATTTCCTCTAGTTTGACATACTATGATTGCACTTCAAGGGAAACTGATTTTCTCAAAGGCATGGGGCTAATAATTGCTTTGGTAGCAACAGATTTGTTGTGAGATACAAAGTTAGGACACACTATAAGATCATTGCCACCATTAAGAGCAGTGAGAATGCCCACCAGGTGTCCACTATACATTATATTCAGCATACACAGAGTGCGCTACTCACAAGTCTTTGATTAGAGCTAGACATGAGATCCCACCTAACCCAGGACCTAGGGCACTGTGTCTTCTGGTTGTCAGGAGAGGAAAACTGGACATCTGTAATCAACACCAATGGCTATGACAGACTTTAATAATGTTCACAGCCATCACCAGGTCCCACAGACACCCAATGGCAGACCCAAGTTAGAATCTAGTCATGGCTTCCAGGGCTCAGGTTTTTAACCCTGAGCTATTCTACTTTTCAACAGGATTCTCAGAAAACTAGCCAAGTGTGGAAGCCATCCTCTGCTGGAAATTTCTTGTTTTTTTTTTTTTCCTGCAAAAGTACTAAGTACTAATGTAGCTCTGAGGCAGAACATTTGTCTAGAATGTAAAACGTCCTACATTCTAACCAAAGCACCACTAAATAAATAAATTAGAGACTGTGAAAGAATCCTAAGGCCCCAGCCCCTCAGATGACAGTGAGTGTTTCATAGGCAGGAGAGTCATTTCCTGCAGCCCGAGAATCTGTGTAGTGTTTAATTATGACAGTCAAAGAAGGAATTTAATCCACAGTCCCATTATCTACCTCAACTACTGCTCGACTTTCTGCTAAACTCAACCAAATAACTACCCTGAGTATCACTCATTAAAGGCTAAGGAAAGCTTTTGCTAGGGGGAAAAAGGTCATATTTAAAAAGTAATCTATGCGTTTGATCTAGTGTGCTGTTTGAAACCAGAAGCATCAGTTACATTGATGGTTGCTGTGAGGAAGCCAGAAAAAAATATCTTTGAGGATTGGCAGGAAGCCAATAATTCAATTCAGTTAGACTTCTGAGTAGGCATTAGATCATAATAATATTCAGTCTCTGCTACTGTGGGCCAGAAGGGAAGAACTGGCTCCACAGAGGAATTCTCCATGGCTCCTTTCTCCTCTGCCCTCTTGCTTCGCCATGTGATGGGACCTCATAAAGACATAGTTACTGAAGAGGAAGACATATATGTCTCATTATGTTAGTCCACAATATGTTAAGAAGCATATTGCTCATCAGAGGTAATAGCCAGATCAAAAGGCCAATCCCGCTGGATGTGGTTGCATGTGCCTGTCACCACACACTAGAGAAAGTAGAGACATTGGCATCCTGAGTTCAAGACCAGCCAGGCTACAGAGTGAGACAAAAAGTAAAATAAAAGGCAATAACAAAAAAAAACTGCCCATTCCTCACTGGACTGTAAAGGGAATTGACTGTGTTTTGAGCAGTTTACAGCATAGAACTTTGGAGAAAGAACTCTGCAGTGTCCTATGCCTGACTCTGGTAGTGTTGATACATTGACCTTTGATCATGGAACTAATCTGGCTGCTGTTCCTGAACACAGTGTGGACTCAGGCTTATCATGTACTTATGTCTGTGTGGCTGTGCTTACCAGCTTTGCTATTGGCCTCAGAGTTTTGATGTCCCAAGGAAGATATGAGGCATCTTCAGGGAAGAGGACCAAGCCCATATCGTAGTCAGTGCAACCTTGGCTTCCCTGCTCACTCAGAAGTAAGAAACCCATGTTTCTATGCTACTGACTCAAGGATGTTTACTTTAAAGCAAAATATAGTAAGGATCTGACAAAAGGTACTTTTCCAAAATTGTCAAAGCCATAATAGATGTTTGGCTGGCAATCAGAATGGATGCATCTTAGATTTAGGATGCCTTTGGAACCAAGCCCTTTTAAGAATGTAGAAACTCAATATATAGTATTCACCATCTACTTTAAAATCTACTTTAAAATATAGGCTGTCCTGGTTTAGGTTGCTTACTCTACTGTGTGTTAGATAAGTAGACAAGTGTTTGGTAGCTCTGCTTGATGCTGGAGCATCACTTGCTACAATAACACTCTCTCTGAAGTTCCTTGTCATGTGTTTTGGAGAATTACCAAGAATTTACAAGAAGGCCCTAGGAGCTTATAAGAACACTGACAAGAATTTTCAAACATCTACTTCATGATTATCTGCCCTAGGTATCTTCAATAGATGTCTAATTTGTTCCTCAGTCTTCAATGTTCTTTAGCAAAGATGTTAACAAGGAGACCCAGAAGGTCTCAGAGCTAGTAAGTGACAAATATGGTATTGCTACCCAAATCTGCCTGGATCCAGTGCATTGCCAGTATCTATAAAATGGAAAGTTCACCATCCTTTTGGATCATCAAGAAACCCTAGCTACCACCCTTCTTCATCTCCCTGGGGATGGGGAGACAGATGCGGACTTACTTAATTTTCCTGCTCAGTTGTATCTCACTCCGACACCTTTTGTTCGCCAGGAGTAACACAGTAAGTTCCCTGACATCCTTCAATATGAAGACCTGTGTCGTAGGGGGTGTGTTTGGACCTATGTGCCCCTGTGCCAATCAAGGAGCAGGTGGCCCCTATCTGACAGCCAGGTGAAGCAGAGAAACCAGCTTGGCTGGTTCTGCCTGGGTGAGCCCCAGTAATAAGGGTGTTCTTCTCCAAGGAGCTCAGCATCCAGCACAGATAAACAGGTACAAGATTTTCCCAAACAGAAGGACAGCAGCCATTGCACTAGTCAGAGGGCTTTCTTTTACAGAAGCTATAGACAATTCACTGAATTAATTCTGAGTGGGAGGGAGGAAGAGTGACCATCTCTTTGGAAATGGAAGCCACAGTGGAACTGTGAGACTGGGCTGAGATCTAGAGATTCCCACCGCCTCTCTGTGGCTCCACATCCCTGAACATTACTATCCCATCTCTACAGTTAGATGCGTGATTACTAAGTGGATTATTGGGTTTGAAAGTAGGAGAGGCTGCTCTGACCTGCCCGGTGCTCAACTATATCTGAGGGGTGACAGCTCTGAAGGCTGGAGTTGGGTTTGGGGAGGATTGGGGAGTCCTGATGTTTTTATAGACTGCATCTGGCAGATGCTATCAGAAACCAGACACAGATGTAGCCCCAAGAGGCCCTGGCACTGGCCCTTCTTGGTCAGCTCAGGCCTGCTCGTCTCTGCCTTTCTGGATGACTGTTCTGTCGGAAATGACAAAGGGCTCATATTAGTATTATTTGTGCAATTTAATGATCCAATGAACTAATTTATTTATCTCATGCATTGTTTCCTCAGTAGAGGATTAAACAAAAATGTCAAGTGTGGGAAAATTATAGTACAATTATTGAAAAGAAAAATGCCTACAACTCCAGGGAAGGAAGTTATAAATAAAAAATATATAAAAGTTATAAACATATAAATAAGCTGATGCCCCGTGTCTCTGACATGGAGATCTTTTCATCCAAATATTTCAGCTTGACTTTGCAATTGGCTGCTTCTTTCTACTTTGGCTCTTGCATTTAAATAAAGACCTAGTCTTTCCTTATGTTCACAAATGAACGAAATTTATTAGAGGCAGGAACCTGAGCTAGATGACAGTCACATTTCACAAATGTAGTTGTTTCACTGACATGATCAGTCCCATCTGGCTCTGGTGTGTGTGTGTGTGTGTATACATATATAACATATTTAAATAATACATATACATTACATATAATATGTATATATCATAAATACACATAATATTAATATATGCACATACACACAACATATATGCATAATAACAACAGGTATACATGGCATATACATATAAATATATATATACATATATACGTATTATGTATATTTAAATAATACAATTGTTATTTATCCAGCTCTTAAATATATTTAGGTCCACCTAGTCACTTTTGATGCCAGGCCCTGTGTTAGTTTCTGTAGTTAAAAAGTCAGGTAGGTGGGCTGGGAAGACAGTTCAGTGGGTAAAGTGCTCGTTGAACACGTCTAGCACCCAAGTTTGAACCCTACAACTTAACATAAAGCTGGGATAGCAGTGTGCATCTGTAACCCTAGTGCTCCTATAGTGAGGTGGAAAGCAAAGACAAAGGATTCCCAGGCAGAAGAATGGGCCAGTTACTCTGCCAATATACAGCAGTGAACAACTATGGAAAACCCTGTCTCAAACAAGGTAGAAGATGAGAACTAATGCCCAAGGTGCTATCCTTCTACCTCCACATGTGCGCCAGGACA